CCCCCCCTCCCCGCACTCTCCCTCCTATCCCCAAAAGGGCTCTCTTCTATGAATCACTGAAACTTTTTTCTTCTTTCTCTCTCCCTATTTTTTTCTCCTCTTCTTCTTTTTTTTTTTTCCCCCTATTTTTTTTTTCTTTTGAATGGGAGCAATCAAAAAAAAGGGAAGCAGAAGCAAAATAATCTGGTTAATCTAAGGGTGCCTGCTGCATTCCAGCACCCTGTTTTTCTTGGCCAAACCGTAAAATGTTGGTGCAAGGCAGACATCCACTCTGAAAACATGTATATCTATATAGCTATATATTCTTCAAAATGAAAGGGGCCACTTTTTTTTTTCCCAGGAAGAAAAAAAAAAATAAAATATGCACACAGCACTAAAAACAAGCAGACTGCATAGGGAAGCAAATACATATATATATATTTATCTATATATATAGGTATAGCTATAGAACAGAAATATGGAAATAAATGCCCGCACGCCGAAAAAAAAGTGACCCTGAGGAGAAAGGGGGGAGGGACACACGCTGGGGGGAGGGTGGGAGAAGGAGAGGTTGTTGGCCCCTAAAGTTCGAGCTCTGTAGAAGGACTTTGCATGAATTCTGGGAACCAGCAAGAAAAAGGGAAATAATTTAGGGCTGTCAAAAGTCCTGCTCCTGACGGCTGCCAATCATCATGGAAGAGTCATAAAAAAAAAAAAAAATCCACTGCTAATATTTTTTTTATTAATATTTTTATTTTTTATTTCTGGACTGATTCAGATAAAGGGATTTAGAAGGACTGAGCATCTGCAGCTGCACTTATCTGAACTTCTCTCCTAAATCCGTTGCCAACTTTGATTGAATGGGTGCTGTGGATGTGATTATATAATACTGCCATTTCCAAGCAGTGTTTTTGGTAGGTTTTAATAAACAGACTTTTCAAAAAGACGGCAATATAGAATTGTTAGATCCGTTGTTGATCTAAAAAAAAAAATTTGCTTTATATTTTCATTAAATGACTTCTTTTAATATTTTATTCAGAATACCTATGAACTGCTGCAAAACGGTAATTTATTTTTTCCCCAGATCTTGTATTACGTGTTTTTTTCAGACGAGCACAAATCAAAATGAAATGAAAATATGGACAGTTGTTAGGTAATAAGGGTATCTTTTGATGTGATAATTTGATTGTAATTTAATTTGAGTAGTGATTCCGTAAGAGCTGATTGAGAAAATAAATTTGTTAGAATGAAATAGTCTGTGTCTGATGCATAAACACTGTGTCGAGAAAAAAAAGAAAAAGAAAAAAAAAAAAAAGTTGTTTTAAGGGAAATACTGCAAATGCTGAAGGGAGAGAAGCACCGAGGGTCGGACCTGCTGGCTGCACGCCCCCCGTGCTGCTTCGCAGTGCCCACTCACCCCACCCCCATCTCTGCCAGCTGCCCGGCGCCGAGCTCGCCCAGTGCCCGTCCCCCCCCTCCCAGCCCGATGCCCGAGGCCTCTTCCATCAGCCCAGGGACCCTGTGGCACGGGGGAAGGGAAGGCGAGATTAGAAATCATCAAGGGCCACCTCCTCCAGGGAAGGGGCTGTAGCGGTTGGA